TTGTTGCGGCAGTAGTTTGTATGTCGTATTCCTGCTCAATGGTATTTGATGTTAAGAAGGTAGTGGAATAATTAACATCGGACGTACAAAGGACCCAGGGTTGGAGACACAACCACGAGATCATTAAACAGTACTAAACGAACCAGTAGCAGCCGTGTTCCGGGAACGATACACTACAGGACAAAAGAACGTTTCATATTATGTTAGTGAGTGGCTTGACAGGTGTGATGATAATGATATTCAAACGTCTATCATATTCTGAGTTTCGGAGGGGCGTAGGATAGCCTAGTGGTTAAAGTGTCCGCTCGTCACGCTAAAGACCCGGGTTCGATTCCCCACATGGCTACTATGTGTGAAGCCCTTTTCTAGTTAACCCCGTTGGAATATTGCTGGAAGTTAGGTTTGGATATCTGTATGTTCAAATCTCAATTGGGGCGGTGGGGTAGCCTAGTGGTTAAAGCGATGGCTCGTCACGCCGAAGACCCGGGTTCGAATCCCCACATGGGTACAATGTGTGAAGCCCATTTCTGGTGTTCTCCGCCATGATGTTGCTGGAATATTGCTAAAAGCGGCGTAAAACCAAACTCAGTCAGTCAGTCAAATCTCATGTTTACCCCTCAGTTCATTTGGCAATAGGTCCACGTGGTTACAATGTGTTACAATTTTAGCCTCGTAATTTTTACATGATTTCCATTTTCAAACCCAAGTCCTCAAGCGACACTTTCTTTTGCCCTGTACTTAGCAGGTCACTGATGAAGGAGATTAAAATTCCCGTCACTTTAACTTGTCCGCTGTATATCGGTAACAGCATACAAGATGTGACACTACATTATAGAGGATGTAGTTGTAGTACACGCAGTGACAGCAGAGCTCATGAAACAGCTGCACATTCCTGGCAGTATATCTGTGGAGGCGTCACCTTGGTGATAGCACCTGATGTTCCGTCATGCCAATGAACCTGTACAAAGTGTACGATTGAAAGTATGGCTTACTTAACTAATGGATCGAAGATTGTATATTCAGTTGCATGTCTGGGATTGTTTTGAATAAAAAGTCATTTGCTCACAGTAATAACTGTGATTTGTTACTCCGAATGACAAGCTGCACGTGCTGAGAAATGTTGTTTTTGTATAAAAGATGTTTGATGAAGGAAAATAGAAACATACAATAATGAAAATTGTCATTATCCAAAATGATAAAAATAATAATTATCATGAAAATTAAATATGTCGGCCATGAACGAGCATAATGCATATTTCTGAGATGACACACACGAGGATGATGGTTCCTTCATCATGACTGATGATTTTTAAGATAAATGATGTTTGAGGCGTAATCTTTACTCGATGATTAGGGGCGTTGGGGTAGCTAATGGTCAAAGCGTTTGCTCGTCACGCTGAAAACCCGAGGCCCATTCTCCCAATGGGTATAATGCGTGAAGCCCATTGTCGGAATATTGCTGCAAGTGGCTCACTCACTCACTCAGTATGAGTACGATGAATACGGTATCTATCCGATTCATCATATAGCGCTAAATGAATTATAGCTATGTTTGTCCATATAATCACCCGCGCATCAAGAACTTCTTTTCTGTGCTGAGAGGGTACGTAAGTCCCGAAACATTCAAAGGAAATTTAAATTTACCAGCTGTTTTAAATGTAGTATTCTTGTCATTTTAATTTTGGCTAAATTTGACTTCAATCGCCACCGGCTGAAAGGATGATATAAATCCAACTAGGGTCCATGCAGTTAGCAAAAGTACTGCAAGTCCCCATGGTCCCTAGTTTGGTGATCTACCTTCAGTTGTTGGCGATCTGTAGCCTGTTTTTATATTGAATTGTCCAAATAGTGTTATTAGTTTTAATTTTCCACACTAGTTTTAGTTCTAATTGTGATATTCTAGTTGTGTCACTGTCCTTCGTCGACAGGTTTATAAATATACATCTATTCCATTTCAATGTCAAATATGTTCTCGTCACGATATGGCTGAGATATTGCCGATGTGACGTTAAATATTAACTCACTCACTTTTCTGTGCGATGGTGTAGCCCAGTGGTTAAAGCGTTTGAAGACTCGGGTTCGATTCCCCCATTCATACAATGCGTGAAGCCTAGTTCTAGTGTTCCCCGCCTTATATGGCTAGAATATTGCTGAAAGCTGCAGAAAACCATACTCACTCACTCACCCATTCTTACCTTTTGGAAACGTGAGCAATTGTTTCTTTAGCAAACAGTCACTGCGTCGCTGTATGGAGCTTGACCGTAGTTCTCGTCAAGTGATCTCGTTTGCATATTTATCGGATCGCGATGTCAGGTCTATCTGATAAGTTTACCGCAGCGATAATACCATAATACTATCCATCATAAAGGCGGTAAATGTCGCAAAACTACATCTGCATCCCTGATGCGCTGTCCGTACACCCACCATGATATAACATTCGGAACACACCAAGCAATCTGGAATTATATGTGCGCATCCATTGACATACACGCATCTCGGATCAAGCATGTGTATCTCGAAACTTTCGCTGACGCCCTGTCTCGGATATTTCAACAAGACAGAGTTTTGTACAATTCACCCTAGTTGTTAAAGCGTATAGCGAAGTTGGCCATGAATAGAAACTGGGTTAATTAATTTCATTTTGTCTGTAATACATGTTTTGTTATAGAATTCTGTTCAAGTGTGTTCTTACGCTGCATTCAGCAAATAGTCCAGCAATATTCCATATGACGGCAGAGACACCAGCAACTGAATTCCCACATTGTAACCCTATGGGGAATCGAACCAGGTTTTCGGCGTGATGAGCGAACGCTCAAACCACGAGGCTATCCCACCGCCTCAAAGTAGAACAATTAAAATAGTATGAAGACGAGTCAAATCAGCGCTGGTCAGGGTATATGTAGGTTTCTGCATCCCGTGTTAGGGTTTATACCCTGGGATACCCGAGTACCCCTGAAGATCCGGGTTAGAATGAACCTTCAGCAACCCATGCATGTCGTAAAAGGCGACTAACGGGATCGGGTGGTCAGGCTCGCTGGCTTAGTTGACTCATTGTATCCCAATTGCGTAAATAAATACACATGCTGCTGATCACTGGATTGTCTGGTCCAGACTCGATTATTCAAATACCGCCGCCATATAGGCGTTAAACAACAAACCAAACCAAGTTCCTAACTGGGATATAAGTTTTTTCCCCTTTTGTCTGTTTTCTTCTTGGCGGTGTGTCCGGGATATATTTCCCTGTGAGGCGGGATATATAAGAATCTCAGATATCAGAAGAAACGATGGTGAGATTCTTTATATCATCAAAAATCACTCTTCATTAGTTTTCAATAAAAAATGCACATCTCTGAACACGGTTCTGCCATTAGACTTGCAGTGCAGGGATGTCGTAGCATTGTTACGTCATCAAGTTCATGACGTCATAGCATTGTCAGGGCATTGTACAAAATCTACTGTCAAAATGATATCTCCTAGGAGATATCGTATATCACACACAAGCAATATCTACTGTGGAACACAGTTTTGGATGATAGATGTGTTTTATCAAGATCAAGATCACGTGAACCAATTATGTCTCAACATTCTGACCTGGAGGTAAAAAGGTTCTAACTGGTGTCAGATGTAACGTGGAACAGTGTGTCCTATTATCTGATGTACAGATATCGGGTTTCACCTTCTTACGGAAAGTAACGATGTAAGCCGACTGATTCTGATTGATTTATATCCTAATAACACCTTCATTTCAGCCAGAACCTGCTCCGCCGAGGTCGCCTCTGATATCGAGTGACAGTTACTGGTCGTGTCATATTGCCTGAAAATCTGGATTAAGCTCCCCGCTGGCCAAAATATGATTCATTTACAAATCATTCGTCCTGCTGAGACAATACTTGGGCGAAAAGCACGTTGGAGGCGGACAATTTACAGATAACATGCGGACGGTATCCGGACAATATACAGACAACATGCAGATAGTATCCGGACAATTTACAGACACCATGCAGACAGTATACGGACAATTTACAGACAATATGTGAACAATTTACAGACAACATGCAGAGAGTATCCAGACAAATTACAGAAAAACAAGCAGACAGCACGTGTATGTGGGCAATTTATAGATTCATAAAGCATTGACATGCCATCATCATAGAGCAAACACCAGCAGCATAAATACTGCCGACACCACATCTGTTGCATACAGACAGTTTGCAGACAGCATTCAGCATAATTCAGAAAGTATAGTTACTGACAAAATACAGATAGTAAAAGGGAAATCATTAGAGTCTCGTGACTTTGCAACTTATTGCAATCCATAAATGAACTGAATAATTTGAACTGTTGTTTGAAAGAAAAATCATTTTATGCCACACTTCTAAACATTAGAAAGAGTGATCACTAGCAACATCGGATATTTAGAATGATGATACTTATTTGGTAAGGTGGGGGTGGGGGTGGGGGTGGGGGTGAGATGGGTTCTGTGGGAAGCGGGGAGGGGTTGCACGGATGAGGATAACATAGTCGACTGTAGAAAATTTTACTGATATAACTGAGCTGTCTGTGGGAGGGGGTCGGAGGGAAAGGGAGGGGGCGTGGTGTGTGTGTGTGCCGGGGGTGCGTTTGCTCGGGTACACGATGACATGATACATATTTTCCGTGGGGACGGGGCAAGGTGAGAGGGTTGAGGAATGACTGAAGAAAAGGTTACTTGTGAAACCAAGGTTGTCCGTGGGGATGGGGGGAAGGGGGGTTGCACAGGTAGACGATGGTCCTTAATTCCTGTTGAGATGGGAGGTGGTGAGCATGGGTGAGGATAAACAGAGGCGACTGTAAAAACAGACTACTGGTCTTACCCACCACCTTCCTTCGTCGTAGGGCCGTTATGTTATAGAGCATGCTTGCACAGTATGTCACAACATAGAGAAAAATCGATGTGTACGCCAAGCGGGGCCTAGCCCGCGCTTCTTACATTTCTGATGGTACCTCTGTTGATGTTGCAGGCGATCACTAGATCTGGACGGCAGTAATCTGCTCCTCGTAGCGTCGCGAAGGAGGCTGCAGTTGGATACCTGGCTACACGCGACCAGTTGCTTTTGGATAACCGGCGAGGATGGATATTTCTTGAAGCGAAGGATTCACCTGTTAATGGCTTGAAAGTAGCGGTTGAACAAGTTTAGTGATCTCGTGCTTGGCGGTTCGTCCGCCTTGAGTTGTGTGTACGGTCAGCAGACGACTGTCTCAGCAGACGACACAACGGAGCAGACGACAGCCTCAAGCAGACGACATCGGCACCGCCTGCACGTGCTGAATGAATTCTGACCGCGGTTTGGTTTTCGGATGGAAAGTGTAATTTGATTTTTTTTTTCAAATATTCTCTTACGCTCTTTTTTGGATTATATACACAGTTTGGAGTTCCACTTTGAGGATGATTGTGCCCTTCTACTCAAAAGCTTCGAAGTTTGCCTCATTGATTTTCTGTAGTGCTGGTGCAGGTTCGTGATAGTAGCTGGAGCGATAGGGAGTGTAAAGGACGATCTTGTATATCGTGTCTTTGTGTTGATTCCGATCATTCTCACGGGGAACACGATAGGTTGTTTATGAGGATAGTCGTGGGAGGTATTTCAATGGATTATTCTGTCCCGTAATTCTCATCACCAGTCTATAAGGAAGGCCTGTCTCCCGATGGCTCCTCAGGGACGGAGGTACCTAGCGCAGGGAAGCTTTCAGAACGGAAAGGGTACATTCTTGGGCGAGGGCAGTGAAGGGGACACTTCGAATGACCCACCACCCCCAAGCTCAAGCAGCTGGCCGACCCTTGTTCCACACCTCAATGACTCCGGCCCAAACCATCTCCTAAGCCAGAACGATTCAACTATGCATCTGCGGCCCGATACGGAGATCTCAACAACGGGATCCTTGCTATCAACTGCAGACTTCTTCGACGAAATAAGTTGGGGGCCTTGGGAGTACCCGTGCGATGCGAATGATTCGTTGTGCTCTTTTAACGTGTCCATCGGAAATAGTACAGCGGGGGACGGCGAGGAGCTGAAGTACTGGACTATAGCGTTGATCATTGTGCCACTCTTCACCGTCTTCGGGAACATCCTCGTCGTTCTCAGTGTGGTGAAGGAAAGAAGTTTGAAAACTGTCACCAACTATTTTATATGCTCTCTTGCCGTAGCCGATATCATGGTGGCAGTTTGCGTGATGCCGCTTGCTATATATTTAGAGGTAAGTCTTTATATTTTTTCTCATCATTGTAAACATATGTGTAACATTGGTGACTGTGGCGTTAGTATGAACTGATGTTTTGAAATAGTGAGTGAGTGAGTTTAGTTTTACGCCGCACTCAGCAATATTCCAGCTATCTGTAAATAATCGAGTCTGGACCAGACAGTCCAGTGATCAACAGCATGAACATCGATCAGCGCAATTGGGAACCGATGACATGTGTCAACCAGGTCAGCGAGCCTGACTACCCGATCCCGTTAGTTGCCTCTTGCGACAAGCATGGGTTACTGAAGGCCAATATTCTAACTCGGATCTTCACGGGTTGTTTTGAAATAGACCCACAGGTAGTCACCAACATTGACATTTATCTTATTGCTTGTTCGAAAAATATAAAATACTCATACGTATGTTCCGATTTAACATTCCAGTTAAAGATATAAAGTGAAATTTTCTTTTGACATAGAGCCTTAAAATTTCAATTGATACTTTTGTTTGTCCAACATACACACACAACATACATATGTCCTTGAAGAGACAATTAATGTTATTTGTAAAATCTTTCCCCAAGATGTTCGTAACTGTAAAATTCCATTCCGATTGCCAATGTCATTGCGTTAAGGTATGGTAAGTCTTGTTTCGAAAGACAATTCTGCACAATTGTTTTAAAACATCTGAAGGTATCAAACGTATTACGAATTTCAAAACTATGAATTGTGACATTAATGATATTATGTACGTGACTATTAAAAGTCATATTCGTGCAGAAAACAGCATAGCAAGCCATTACAAGTCATACTTAGCAGCATCACGCACGGATTTACCGTTCAGTGTCTGAAGGCAACGCTTGATGTCAACGCTTTATATAGTCTAACACTTCACATTTGAAACGTGAGCTTGAACTGGAAACTTGGATTAGTTTGTCGACACTTTATTGTCGAAACTCTAACCAGGTGATGTTATGGCCAACCCGATCAGTATTCGTTATATCGCCTCTCTATGGTTTCCAATCCCAGCAGACCCGTGAAGACACTCACTCACTCACTCACTCCCGTCCCAGAACTTTTACCTGATGTGGGTGTCCAGTTCTTAAGTAATATCACGCTCTTCATAGTTACCTGAAGAACCCAATTTGACGTTGTAAAACTTTTGCAATATACGAAATAGGATGTGTTTTGCGATTCTGTAAATGTCACGTATTACAGGAGTAATTGTACAGTGACATTTACTCTATGGTGACTGGTAGTTGAAGTGCCCTGTTTATGCAATGTTAATGCTACGAAAGGGTATGTTGTCTTCAGGGGCGAGGGGAGCCATGTGGGTAAAACGTCGCTCGCCTCGCCTAAATCCACGGGTTCGATTCCCTACGTGGGTGCAATGTGTGAAGACCCATTTCTGGTGTCCTCAATCGTGGTATTGCTGCTAACGGCGGCATAAAACAATATCCACTCACTCCCCGGTTGCCCTTGTTCGATAGTCCAGTAACAAGGCACAAAGTACCCGAATCACCAGAGCAGGAAGAGCATGGATGATCTTCATACTCACATGTAATTCATCGTGAACATCTCAGATATAATTGATCTTCGGCAACCAATACTTCACCAAAGATGCACCCGTGAAGGTCCGGGTTAGAATAAGCCTTCAGTAACCCATGCTTGTCGCAAGAGGCGACTAACGGGATCGGGTGGTCAGGCTCGCTGACTTGGTTGACACATGTCAACGGTTCCCAATTGCGCAGATCGATGTTCATGCTGTTGATCACTTGATTGTCTGGTGCAGACGATTATTTACAGACCGCCGCCGTATAGCTGTAATATTGCTGAGTCCAACTAAACTCACGCACCAAAGATGCTACGACTGGACCAGGTGGTCAGGTTCGCTTACTTGGTTGACATATGTCATCGTATACAAACTTCCTGGCTTGATGCTCATGATGTCAATCACTGGATTGTATGGGCCAGATTCGTATTTGGGTACCGTCGTACAGCTGCAATATTGTTGAGTGTGGCGTTAAAAAACAACAAAAACAAACAACAAAAAACAATCCGCATTCATCGTGTAATGAAACTTATAATCGTACGACAGTGATCTAGTTTTGTCATTTGATCAAAATTTCATTATTTCAAAAGTGATAAGCGTTATTTTGTACCGTTGCCTGCAAATAAATTAAATATTCACAGCTTGAGATAACGCACATTGTACTCAATCACACCCTCCAAAACTGAATGAATTAAATGTCTGGAAAGGTAGTGTCCAGAATAACAAGGTTCATAAATATATTTTCACAAAACACGCTTAATACGTCATAATGCATTCAACAGTTCATAATGCGTTTAAGCTTTCTAATGCGTTCAGTATGTAATTATTACAATGCGTTCATTACGTCACGATGCGTTTAATATTTTATGATGCATAGGGTACGTTATAGTCAGTTCAGTACCTTATAATGTGTTTGATACATGTTGGTGTTTTAGTACGTTATGATGCGCCCAGTACGTAATAATGGTTCAATAATGCTCAAACAATGTTTTATAATGCTCTCAGGAAGTTACAAAACATTCACAACGTTGTTACGTCCAGTATGTCTTGAAACGTTTGATATGTGATAGGTCGATATCTTATACTTCGCTCCTGACTTCATATCGCTTTCAATTCGTGTGGCGGGGTAGCCATGTGGTTAAAGCGTTTCCACGTCACGCCGAAGGTTCGGGTTCGATTCCCCACATGGGTACAATGTGTGAAGCCCATTTCTGGTGTCTCCCGCCGTGATATTGCTGGAATTTTGCAAAGGGCGTAAAAACCAACTCACTCACTCACTTTATTCATCAACGTTTAATACGTTGAGCATGTCACAACGCGTACTATATGTCATTATTCGTACAAGGCGTAAAATCGCTATTTGTACGCTAATTTGAGTTCAGTTTCATTCCAGACCATAAAGACCCATGAAGATCCGTGTCAGAATTGGTCTTCAGCAACCCATGCTTGTCGAGGGAGGCGATAAATGGAATCGGATGGTCAGGCTCGCGGTTTATGTTTACCCATGTCAATTACGTAGATCGATGCTCATGCTGTCGATCTCTGGATTGCCTGCCCAGATTCAATTAATTACATACATATAACTGGAATATTGCTGAGTGCGGCGTAAAAGAACTCACAAACTTACTGTACAATTGAGTGAGTGAGTTGAGTTTAGTTTTACGCCGCACTCAGCAATATTACAGCTATATAGCAGCGGTCTGTAAATAATCGACTCTAGACCAGACAATCCAGTGAATAACATCATGAACATCGATCTACACAGTTGGGATACGATGACATGTGTCAACCAAGCCTCGAGCCTGACCACCCGATCCCGTTAGTCGCCTCTTACCACAAGCATGGGTTGCTGAAGATCAATATTCTGACCCTGATCTTCACGGGTCTTCTGTACACTACGTTCAGCATGTCATAACGTACTCTGTACAGTATTCGAAGTTCAATGCTTTATGACATGTTCAATATGTCATAAAACGTACGCTAAAAGTACGTTCTTTACATAGTAAGCCGCCATCTCTATAGGAGGCGGTTAGATGCCCCTCAAACCAACCGTGACTACAAATGTGGATCCGTTTCAGGTGGATATCATACAATGATATCATACAAGATTATTGATCGTGCTTATTATGGAACGCAGGAGGTATACATGCATATTTACGTAATTCCTTCATCTAGAAGTACACCGCCTCCGTGATGTAGTGGTTAGAGCGTCCGCCCGGAGAGCGGAAGGTCGCGGGTTCGATCCCCGACCACGTCATACCAAAAGACGTTAAAATATGGTACTTGTTGGGCGCTCGGCATTAATGGGTACAACAGGGACTGGTCGGCTCGGAGTCAGTATAATGTGTCTGAGTGGGGTATTCAGGCTTCACTGCGGCATGGTATCTCAGTGGGATAGCACTATAAAACCTGCTTAAGTCTGGGTTAGTACAAGCAGCCGCACCTACACATACACACGCATGCACGTCGTCATATGAGCGAAATATTCTCAAGCACGACGTTAAACCCAATATCACCTCACCTCACCTCTAAAAGTACATGGATCTATATTGCAGCAATGTTTAAAAAAACGTCAAACGCGTGGTGGTGTGACAAATAGGAGCGGTGGAGTTGTTATAGCGTTCGATCGTCACTACAGAGGTCCGGGTTCGATTCCCCGTATTAGTGTTGTATACCTACGTAGTGATTGTATAACATATCTCACGCGATGTAGAATCCAATCTGATTACTTGCTGATGAATAAGACCCGTGAAGATCCGGGGTAGAATAGGTCTTCAGCAACCCATGCTTGCCAGAAAAGTCGACTGTGCTTGTCGCAAGAGGCGACTAACGGGACCGGGTGGTCAGGCTCGCTGACTTGGTTGACACATGTCATCGGTTCCCAATTGCGCTGATCGATGCTCATGCTGTTGATCACTGGATTGTCTGATCCAGACTCGATTATTTATAGACCGCCGCCATATAGGTGCAATATTGCTGAGTGCGGCATAAAACTAAACTCACTCACTCACTCTGGTGAATAAGAAATCCGTTTCTGTTCAACTTCAAACAAAATATTCGGGTCAGGTGGGATATGGTGGTGGTACTGGGGGATGGGTGCGTGTTTTGGGGGGGGTTTAACGCCGCATTCAGCGATATTCCAGCACACAGAAACTCACTCACTCACTCACAGGCGCTCTCTCCAGTAGGCCAGAGCCTCATAAACCTTGAGACGTTGATTCACATGCACTAAACACACAGCCGTTGACTCAAATGCCGTGAGCATTTCTCCTTCAGCTGAACATAAGTAGCTATCCCGTCTATCGACTTTATATGGGACTTACGTTTTCGTTCGGGTTACGATAGGACTTAAAGCCGTTATATATCACCTTAATGCCCGATCCGAATCTGTTATTGCTACATATACGCTCGTTGTTCTGTGCCTGTGAGTTGTATGTGAGTCCTCGCTAGGCAATCCCGTCTAC